AAAAGGAAAATCAGACAAACAATATGCTCTAAACTAAGGAAATTTATCAACATACTAATAGTGGTTTGTATTTAATCATTGTGGTGATGGAGAAACTATGGAAATAGGCAACGCTATTCCTTTATATAGGGTTAGCAACAGTATTTAGATGTCTCTTTCTGATTCTGAAGTAAATTGATATTACTTTAGAAAGCCACGTTCATTAGCACAAGCACTGTATCCAGCAAGTTAGAGACACCAGTTCAGAAGAAAGGTTATTAACTTCAAATTGAAGTTATTCAGATGTCACCACTCTATTTCTTCCAAACCATAGAATAAATTAAGCTGGAAAACACATAACCTGAAGTTAAACAAATCTAACTCACTGTAGAATGCTTACGGATTATCCAACATCCAATCTGGGATGCTGTAATACCCTGTGTATTAGCCCAAGTTTCCAAGTAAAAACTCAGAACTGCAAGTGCCATACATTCTTTTTTAGTTGCAATTTACAATTTTTCAAACTGCTTGCATCCTTTCATTCCTTACTCCTCCCCAAACGGCCACAAACTGGAGAAACTAAGAAAGTAAAAATTTGTTTAAAAGCAAATTTATAGCCCTGATGAACTGTAATAAGTAACTCACAACACTATCTTAACAACAGCCAATAGGACAGTTTACCTATCAGCACAGAGTCAGCCATGCAGTATACTCCTGTGTCAGTTTGCGTGTGTAAAGAATGCGTAAAGTTGGTAACTACAGGATTTCCCAAGCACGGGAAAGCTGAACTGGCCATGTTTTAAACACAGTTCACATAAAGTTACCAGTCAGCTAGAATAAAAGAGAAAAGTACTAGAATAAGGGACATTTTGCTATACTATTAGCAAATTAATAGAACAACACAGAACACAAATCTACAAAAAATAAATTAATTGTCAGTTATATTTTGCTACTTTCAGTGAGTCATCAAAAGCAGAAATCAAAGCCCATGCCCTTCAAATCTGTTGTCCTTCCAGTCCTTAATTCTTTAGCACAATCCACCACAACTCACTGGGCAAGCTCTTGGTTTTCAAGCACTCTAGCCTTGTTCTTCTGTTAATTGCCACAAGGTAGACTGAATTCTTGTCAGTCTGCCAAATGCAGTAATTCCAGAATGGTACATTTCATACACGAGATCACTGTAAATGCCCATAATGCCAACTCCAAATTTTAACTAAAAAAAAAAAAAAAAAAAAAAAAAAGATGGGACTGGATGCAAGATTCCTTTACTTTTTCCCCACATGTATTTCAGTAAGATTTTCCTTTACGATCTCTAACACCCAAGCACTGATAAAATACATTTCCATGGTAACACAAATTTGTTAGCACAGTCTGAATATAAAAAAAATGAAAAAATGGAGGAATACAATTATTAATCCCCAGGCTAATGATTTCTCTAGTGTATCTTTCCAAGAAGATAAATGGAAATTCATATTCCTTTCCAAGAAAGTACTAGAGTAGAGAAAAATCAGGATTAATTAAAATAGGAATTACAGGTATGACAGAGGAGCAGTTCATTGTGACAGCTTCACAGTTACTTTTGGTATTTTATAAGCCCTGACCTTATCCGTTGGTTTTATCATAACTATCTTCTCCACATCACATCAGTGATCATGTCCTTTATTAGGCAGTTCTGCCACACACTCCATATTCTGCATATTCTATCTAAATTTGAGATAGAGTGCCCTCTCAAAGCTGACCTATAAAAAGGCCCTCTTCTTTAGTAGGGAAGTTGGCCATTAATTTTGAGTAACTAAAATAAGCTGCTGATCCCTACCATGCAGCTTGTTGATTTGTTATTTGGAATCACTCCACTTTGCAGCCAAAACACATTACAAGCATTATCATTATTTTCATTCATTTTCTTCCTTCCCTTGCTAATTCATGCAAAACATATGTGCACAGTGTTATAAATTCTAACTGGGTCTGGGATAATGCTTTAGCTTTGTGCAGATTGAAATTCAAAACTCGGTTTGTTGTTTGTAATTCACCGTGTGTGTAATGCCAGCTTGATTTGAAAATGAGTAGCCAAACAGAACAAAGGAAGGACAGCTGTCTTGCTTATCCTCATTGCCAGCATACATCAGGCTAAGGAATCCAGAAAGGAGGAAGACAGACAGCACTTTTCCTGAGAGCAATCAAGCAATCAGTTGTAAAACTCCTGGTACACGGTGCAGACAAGGTGTGGTACAGGAAGCAAAGTGCCTACAGCGCGACCATGGAAATGGATTAGAAAACCGAAAGAACAGGGCTTGCCTGCAGCAGGGAGCGCATTCTCAGAAGAGTCAGGCTGAGACTGCTTCCAAAGGGACCTGTAAGAGACTGAAATCCACGCAATCCCGAATGTTTCTGACTGGCTGGATAGAAGATGGACAGGAAAGAATCCATGCTGAACAGTAGGTGAGGCTAATTTGTTTTCTTACTCCACCAAACCTAAATTCCATCTATAGCCACCTTATGCTAGTTTAAAAGAACAATAAGACCTACTACAAGGATTAAGAGCCTTTTGAATTATTTGGCAGGCTGAGGTTAAGAAATACACTGGAAACTTGCATTTTAATGCTCCAGCTAATTTGGTGTCTTGTCATAAACACATAAAACCGTAAGGCTCTATTGTAATTGTTATTTATCTATACTACCACATTATGTTGGTGGCTAGATAGAAAACTATCAGCCTACAGCCGAGATATTGTTCATCACTGTCATGCAAAAGGTATGATTTAGACAAGTATGTTACAGTCATATATTCCAAAGAGCTCCACATTTATTTAAGTAAGCCCTATCTACTTACAAGAAATTAGCAATTAAACAGATTAAAGTGAATAATGTATTACAAGATGTATTTGCTCACTTGTGGCAAACATACATTTTTTGGCTTGCATATTAATAAACCGTCAAGCTTTCTAAACCTATGACATACTAAAAATAAAGGACTGTAAAATCTGATCCAAAAGAGTCTACATGTAAGTATGCAATAAGTGCATCAAGAGATTTCTCAATTTTAGAAGTTCACAAAGCAGTTGAACAGCTGAATTCATGTTTTACTAAGATTTAGCAATCTCTCTCTAGGTATGTCTAAGGCTTAGGTTAAAACACTGTAAGTCTCAAAACTTGCTATCTTCAAAACTGCCTAATATTCTTGCTTACTCAAACCTAAGTTTAGTTTAGTTTAGTTTATTTAAGACCTAACTTATAACTACATTTTGCCCAAGATTCCTAACTGGTATATTAACAGGCATTTTAATCCACAGGTAAACATTAAAAAAAAAAAAAAAAAAAAACAACCCTCCAAGCAGGGAAATAGGAAATAAACTCTTTAAAGCCCAGATCTATAATCAGAAAAACAACATTCTATAATTATCTTAGTAATTCTGATATAAAAATCACAAATATATTCTCAAATAATCTTAAGAAGATATTTCTTTCCACAGACACTCTTATTTAACTGAGGGTCAAAATCAGAGGAACACTCTGAGTCAGATATCTGTTTGAACCTGTTCATCATATTAACTCTACTGATTGTCTTTTGGCCCATTTAACAGAAAACTATCACTCTACAGCTGGGATATTGTGCACCATTGTCACACTAAAGGTGTGATTTAGACAAGTACGTTACAGTCATATATTCCAAAGAGCTCCAGATTTAATTAAGCCCCATCTACTGTAGCCATAATCTTACTTGAAGTCCTCAAAGATCTAACCAAAAATTCTGAAGCGATCACCCACGCTAAACACCTATTCGATTCCTTTGCTAGACCTGCACAAGCAGGGTGGAAGCATATGCCATAGAACATACTGATGGACTAGAAGAATTATACTCTATAGTCACCAAAGAAAAATTATTTCCTTTTCTGTGTTCATCTGTCTGTATCCCACTAAGACAGCTTCACAAGTAATCTAGATCAGAAAAGCCTGAAAGGCCTGAATATTATCCATTCTTTTCTACTTAGTACAACAGCATCCAGTACATCCAATGGATACAACCCTTCAGATCCTGCAAGCTGCCACTTAGCCACAAAAGTAATTGCTATTGTGGGGCTCCACAGCATTTACATTTATTTGAAGCACTTAATCGCTATGTTTGAAGTAGTCATCAAGACAGCTAATGTTACCTCTCACAGGCAAACACATTTAAATCAAATTATACAATAACACATATCCTACTTTACACTTTCTAAGTCTGAAGTTTGGTAAATATGAGACCATGCCCAGCAGTCAACATACAGTCAGTGCAGAGTTTCTCAGCCCAAGGGCTGACTGAAACTCACAAAATCTAACAACGTGAATTGCAACTCATGTACCCAGCAGATAAGCTGTTATTCACAAAGGGAACTTTGCTGTATTTTTAAAGAAATTCTTTGACTCAAGTATTTGTAGGGGAAGAAACAATCAATACCCTATGAACAACAGCATCTTTTTAGCACTTAATACATACAAGGCAGTAGTCTCCAAAACACACCGAATGTGCAAGTAGATTAGAAATGAATTACTGTGGAGAAGATGGCAGCATTTAGCATCAGCCCAGTTAAACACTACTTAAGTATAATGCACAATTATTAATAAGAGAATGTTACTTAGTGGATAACAACAGAATTTTATCCTGTTCCATGATTTCCACTGAACACCATTTTATTGTTAAAAACTTATTAATGAGAAGAACATGCGAAGTTTTTGTTTTCAGTATTTTTGACAAATGAAAATTAATAGGAAAGAACAAGCTATTTTAAGTCATGGATATAATACAGTAAGGATTTTATTTTATTTTTTTTAAAGATAGCTTTTTAGAGTTATCAATCATTTCTAATTACCTGGGAGACAACTGTATGTTTTTATTCAAAATAATAACTTACAAATTCTTATCTCCAAGACCCATACTACAGCACTAAACATACGACGGAAGAAAAAAAAATCGCAAGTAAAGCACCACATTTAGTGTCAGTTTTACACTACTTTCTCAATCTATTTTAAAAATACCAACTTACCAACTCTGCACTAGCCCAACTGAAGGCCTGTTAAGTAAGTTATCAGGCAACAAATTGACTTCTCTCATGGTGTTAGCTAGCCGCACAGGAAGTTCTTTCCGCAGAAACATGTATGAAGTCTTCTCACATGCATTGTCACGACCTGTTACAGGGAACAAAAAACAAACATAGGGCTGTCACAGCAAATTTTAGACTTGTTAGTGCCAGAAGATTAAAAAGTCACTTGGTAAAAAAAAAGTTCAAAATCAACTTTTTTTTGTTGAGTACCCACCTTCCCTTCCCCTCTGACTCCCAACATACATTTTTGGGTGCTTCTTTCTTTGGTACAACTGAAGGCACTTTTACCTTCCTACAGCTTACCCTTTTATGTGCCAAAGACATTCTCTCATTTTAAATGCACAGTTTCTGACTGCCTCAGTCTGATTTTTGTTCATTCGTGTGCTTAGATTTCATCCTCACCGGCACCTCACACACATATCAAGGTACAGGTACCTTTCTGAGAAAAATAGACAGGTCTGTTACTGCCTCCAATTGAGTTTGATCCCCTTAGATTGCTTTTTACGTCCTCTCCAGTTCACATCTACAGTATCAGCAACCTCCCAACACTCTCACATGAAAAACTTGAGATTTGAGTTTCTCCTTATTCTTTCTGAGGTCTGAGAAACACATTGGTTTTGCAAGAAATGGTTTTATGGATGAGAGTCATCAAGAGATAGCTCTTCTTTCCATTTACTAGCTTTTTCTTTGTATCTACTCTGAAGTTTAGAGACACGGAAAATAACAGCAAGACACAACTTGAGCAGCTGAAAGCATCCCTGTTAAAAAAGACTTACAGATACTCATTTATTATTCTACGCAGGACTCCTTGGGCCTCAGAATTTTCATGTATACTGTTATAGCAAATTGCAACGTAACACAAATCTTTCTAATGCCTTTCACAGACAAATTACAGTACTACCATGTTTATTTAAAAAAAAAATGCCTTTTAGACTGCTTAAATATACAGAATTAGCTTCTGCAGTTTTGAATCCTGAAAAAGCACGAAACATCTAAGTTCTGAAAAGAAAACCAAACATTAAATAATGATGAACGTGAGTCAGCACAGTGTGTTCTGGCAACCAGAAGGGCCAACCATACCCCAGATACATCAGGCACTGCATGGCTAGCTGGTCAAAGGGAGTGAACATTTCTGCTCTGTGCTGGTGCGGCCTCACCCTGAGCTCTGTGTGCAGTTTGGGGCACCACAGTATAAAAAGGGACATAAAGCTATTAGAGAGCGTCCAAAGGATGGCTACAAAGATGGTGAAGGGTCTGGAGGGCACAATGTATGAGGAGCAGCTGAGGCCCCTTGGTTTGTTCAGCCCAGAGCAGAGCAGGCTGAGGGGAGGCCTCATGGCGGCCTGCAGCTCCCTCACGAGGGGAGCGGAGGGGCAGGCACTGAGCTCTGCTCTCTGGGGACAGCGACAGGACCCGAGGGGACAGCATGGAGCTGGGACAGGGGAGGGTCAGGCTGGGGGTTAGGGAAAGGGTCTGCACCCAGAGGTGGTCGGGCACTGGGACAGGCTGCCCAGGGATGTGGTCATGGCACTGAGCTTGCTGGAGCTTAAGGAGTGTTTGGACAATGCCCTCAGACACAGGGTTTAATTTTTGAGTGGCGCAGTGTGGAACCAGGAGTTGGGTTCTATGATCCTTGTGGGTCCATTGCTACTCAGGATGTTCTGCGGCTCTCTGATCTTAAGAGCATTAGATACAGTAGTTATGGCATTAGAGCAACATTACTCAACTACACCCACTACAAGCTATATCAGATAGCAGAATGCTACACATTTTTATCAGTGCCTTACAGCATAAATGGTAATAGCATCAGCCGAGCTCTCATCCTATAAATAAAAATCATCTAATACCAAATACTTGATGTTAGTTGGAAATAAGACTGTAAAAATACTAGCTTTTATCAGTATGACTTCAGTAGAAACGTGAGCTTTTAAGAAACACATGCAGACATAATGGAGGGCAAGGAATAAAAACAAAGCAGCAAATGAGAAAAGCAACAGCTGGCTGGTATTTCACATCACGAGCTCCTCAGACCTTCAACATTTCAGCAGCACATGGCAAGATCAGCAAGGTGGTCATCCCTTCCTAGGACTACGCTACAAGGAGCTCACCAGATGGCTGCAAGTAAAGTGCCCTGCTCGTAACCACATTCCAGTCTCAAAAAGCTGCAGCTGAGATTATCCAGCATAATGCATTGAAAATAAGAAAAGCCCTCTTTATAAGTCAAATAAAAGTGAACCAAAATATATTACTGCTATGCCGTGGACCGACTTGGAACAATGGTAATTCTCTGGAGCTACCTTACAGAAACCAGAAGGCTGACATGACTGATGGTATTCTGCTAAATCAGTCCCTGGAGATAACCATAAACCTTTTAACCACAAGCATTTGAAAGTGTGAGATTCTTGCCCAGATAGTTCAGATGGAAGATCAGGCCTGATTTGACATACTTTTGAACATTGTCACTTTACACAAGGTACGGAACTTCTCACCAAAACCCACTTCTGAAGTGTCCAGGTAAATTAAAAAACAAACAACTAAACAACAATAAGTTTTACTTGTAATGAACAGCCAATATTCTGCTTTCACCTACAAAGACAGTAAATGTCTTTTGTGATCATAACCAGTGCAGCCACCTGCAAAATCTATGAGTGAAGACATAATACAAGAGCTATAAATTATGTTCAAGCAAACCAGAAATCATTAAAAGCACTGCTAGGCACATAATCACTAGGATTTGCAATTTGGAAGACTCGAGTACAATGAAACTGGCACAATCAATGCGATACTTTTTAAGACAGTCCCATTATAATCAGCTGAACAGCAGAGATTTCTTCGCATAGGTAACATGCATTGATGGATTAGTTCCCAATCAAACTGTGTAACACAAGCTTGGGGGAACAGGCAGGCAGGGTTAGGGTTTCCCTTTTTTCTTGCTCATCTATGTATCCCCGATCAGTGGATCATTCCATTCTGTTGGTATCAGCAGTTCTGCTGACTGGCCTTCCAGCAAACATTTGCTCCTGCTTTACTTATTTGCATTTTCACCTCTTCAGTTACAAATACAGACATCCTGACAAAATGAGAAGAAATGCAACATCACACTGCTGCTTTCTTGAGGCACTGTAATGATTTCAGAGTTCACACCTTCAATGACACTTGACACTGCACCACCCACAACAGAGGAGACAGCCACTTGTTTGTTCACAACTCGTCTGATGTTCTAAGTCTTTAGGAAGAGTGGCCAGACAGCAGGAGAGACGGCTTTGACTAGCTCACCCTACACCTTCTGGGCTGCAAAAGACGATGGAACAAATCTCTGGAACAGACGATGACTGTTCTGTTTCTTTATGAGACCGTCTGAGAGCAAGTTTGGTTGTTTTATGGGCAAGAAAAAGCCAAAGGAATGAAACGCAGCCCTGAGAATGAGGAAAAAGTGAACAACGCACAGCCTGGGGCAGCCTGTGAAAGGGCGTGGAGGCCCTCCAAGGACACAGTCCCTGAGTTTGTGCAAGGAAGGCAACAAAAGCTGCTGGACTGGAAAGCAGGACTGGCAGAAAAGACCAATGTCCTGTTCTCCCATAAGCAAGGGCACATTTCTATTTCATCCGTCTCACCCCAGCAGTTCTGAATTGTCTCTTTGCAGAGAGTTGCCTTGCTATGTTCAAGTGCAGAGCATCTTGGGGTCTCTTTGCATGGCCACTTCAGGCAAGGGAAAGGAAGTGCTATTTCCAGACTGACTTGAAGCCTTGTTTCACCATAGCCTCAGTACATTGTTTTGTGATACGTGGTCAGAATAACGGCTGCTTGGCTGCGTGTGCTTTATCTGCGAGCCTCCACAGCATTGCTTCAGCTTCTAGCATAAGGTCACTTATGTGCTTGCCAAACAGCATGTGCATGGCAGAGAGAATGACTATTTGCTTAGATCAGCAATAACTGGATACCCTTCAGCTTTTGAAACAGAAAACGTACTGTGTCCTAATGGCTGCTCCTTGGCTGCTGTTCCTTACAGCAGTTCCTGTAATACCACATTTTCCTGTAATGGTAGATGTGTCAAAAAGAGGGACAACCTATTAAGTGCAAAAAAATTAATCTAAGTCTACAGTATTTCCTTTTTATATAATTTATCATATGCAAGTTCTAAAGATTTTTCCTAGAAACAGCATTCAACCAAGTTGTAAACCCATTTCTACAGGCTTAAACTACAATCATATATATATATTTATATATATACACACATACATACACACATATATATTCATAGGCTGGCTTTACTTTCGCTTTGTTAGATCCCTTCTCAAAAACTACAGCATTCTTTCTTGATTTTGTTATCACTCCAGCTAGGTCTGCACGTTGGCAGAAACAAACTTTCAGCTTAAATACCACATGCTGCATCCAGTTTCAATCCATTAGTTTCAGTTCAACACAATTTGAAGCCAAGCTCAAGGTTAAGGACAACATGGAGCTTGTGAACAACTTCACCTTCATTTATACCGCAGCTCCCAACAAGTTACTCAATAATACATGTAGATAGATATCACTAGGTCATGACTGCTTACCTCTGTGCGAATTCACACGCAAGAAAGAATGCAGTAATCCTATGCCCTAGTGCACTAGGGACTGGGCATCTAGGACTGCAATTAGGTTGATTTCCAAAACAAGGGGTGCTGTGTCACAGAGCTGTTTAATTACAGTGCACTAAGGAGCAATGGTAGCAGCAGACTCCAAGGCAGAATGTAATGATATAGAAGCACAGTGCTAGCGTGGCATTATAACATGCTATGAATACAACTTTTGGTATCAATTACTAATAGAAGGCCCGCTGCTTTTATTTTGTAAAGCAATATGGTGCAAATGTAGCTTTTCGCTATCTCGTTAAATTATACAAAATTACCATTCATTTCTAACTCTGAGGAGTCATGGATTTTTGCCCATAGACCACCAAATCACTGAACTGGAGGAAATAAAAATGCACTGCAGAGGAGTAAGAACTGAGATGCTCTGTATGTAAGTCTTAATGATAAAGGTTCTTTTTCGTCTTGCTGCCTCCATGTTTTTCACTCACACTTGTCTGAGTAAAATGAGTAT